AATTGCTCCAGGGTACAAATATGAATGGTATCATGCATACACCAACTATTTTTTCCCTTATCTTTGGTTTAAAAATTTTTTCTAATTTTTTTAAAAAATAAAATCTTTATTATAACGCATATTTTTTAGACATAAATTTAATTTCATTGAAATGTTAGTAATCTTACCTAAGCTAACGATTGTCAAGCAAAACTCTTTTAGAATTAATGCATCAAAAACTTTCGATATGGTTGTTGTTTATAGTTTTCCAAATTTAACGAAAAGATGGAGAATTTTTTTTTTTTTTTTTAAAGTTTAGGTCTTAATCTAATTGATTGCTAAAAATTTTGCTTTGGATAATTAATAAGGGTGACATCGCAGAGAAAATGATGAAAACCACTTTTATTATTTGACTATTAATGAAACACCGTTCTATAAAAAAAATTTCAAAAAAAAGGTTACGGAACAAAAAGTTTTTGTTTATTTATTGCCAAAACATAAGTATTTTGAAATGTTTGCAGCTTAAAAGTTACCATCTACTGGAGTTACGTTGATCTAGGGTTAAGAAAATATTCGCCGCAAATAACAGGTACTCAAATAGCCATTTAGCGCTCCGCAAAACTAGGTAGTCAAGGTGAGTCATGGTGGAGTTTTTTCATTTAAGAATTTGATATGTGATACCGATAAAATTTTAAAGTTGCGTTTTGAGCAAGCACTTCGTACTTAAAGAAAGCATTTTGAGTACTTAAACAACTTTGATCTGTGAAGCACATCATGTGTAAGTGGTTTTAAAGTATTATGCCATGATATTAAAACACTTGTATAAGGTACTGAAGATTATAGGTGACTTTTGAAAACTTAATTTCTCCATATTCTAAAAAGAAGAAGAATATGAAATGTTTTTTTATTTTAGTTCTTTAATATTTTTCAATATTTTCCTATTGAAAAATATTTTAGAATGTTGTGCTATACTTAAGGGAAAAGAAAAGAAACACACAAACAACACATCATAATATTTTAATGATATGAAAATTCTCTCAGAAAAAGGGAACAGTTATCAAAATTTTTTTTCTTCGTAGATTGCGAACGAACACATATGAGCACATTACATATCTGAAGAAATGAGCAGTTAAAACAAAAGAAAAAATGTCGTTTTTTAAGGACAAAAAAAAATGGACTGGCAGAAATGAGATGAGCTACCTACAGACATTGCAAATCAGTATGCAAAATTGGTAAAACCAATACATTTTTCAACTCTTTGTTACAGCTTGATTTTTTTGTGATTAACATACACTATTTTGTTCTAATTCAATACATTACATAGGAAAAAGAAATGTTTTCAGAATTATCTGAATTAAATTATTGTTATTTGTATTCAATTTAAATTTTTTAAGCATGGCATTTGTGTCACTTTTTCGTTATTACATTTACCATTAACTTAATTATGTGAACAATTAACCGACATCTGAGTTAATTACTTAATAAATCAGTGTTGTTTTTTGGGTTCTATTTTTTAAAAATAATTTTTGCATTTTTAAGTTATTGATGACATAAAGTGAAAAATCTTAAAACTTTCTGTTGTATAAAACTTAGATAAAATTTGGGATGGGAATCTAAAATCTTGGGGAAAAAAGTTGCTTTATACATATATTTTATTTTTTTCTTATTTATTAGTGAACAAATTTATTAAAATAGTTGATAATATTTTTCAAAATGATAAAAATGAATTACATTATATGAGCTTGTACGAACAAGTATTTTAAATTTTGAAATATCAAATAATTTCTAAATTACAATGAAATATATTTTTTATGCAATCGAGTATATTGTCTTAAATCTAGCTTTTTTATGGATGTATTTATTTAGTAAAATGAAATAATTTTTCAATTTTTCATTCGTCGCCAATTGTCGAAAAAGTTTGACAATTGTTTAAAGCTATTTTCGTTTTATCATTAATATTTTCATTTTTAATTACAGTCGCAAAATAACTTTTGTTTTTCACAAATTTCATGGCAGTTTGAGAAATATTTATTAAACCCATTTAAATAATAAAATAGATTTTAAAGCATATTTTATGATAAATGTTTTTTACAAAATATTCTCTAATAAGACGATTAATCTAATTTTCTTTAAGAGTGGACTGAATTACTTTGTTACATCGAAGGCACGACGCTAATCATTTATTTCGTTTTATACCTGGCCGAATACACATATGATTGTAAGAGTGAACTGACTCATTTCAGAACATTAATAAACTTAAGGTATATACATGCATATAAAACCTTTTTTACGTCAGGAATATGACAATAAGCTAATTGTAATCAGGAATATAAATTAAGTTTTTAAATTTCAAAAGCATGCTATCAAAAGTATATATTTAGAGAGTCTGTTTGGATACATGAATATTTTTTTGTTTTTAGAAATATACATGATGTTTGCTTGGATACATGATATTTTTGTTTGTTTTTAGAAATATATAATTTCTCTTGGTCGTTTGGTCAAAATGAGTTTGGTCATATGGTGATTTAACAACTAGATCTGCTAATGCAGGCAGTGCTTTTTACTTTGCTATGAGGTTGGTCAGTGATTATTTTAAATGAATTTTGGTCATTGTTTATGTTTTCAGGGTTGCGGAAAAGTTCCAATGAAATGTTTCATCGTTCTAAAATAATTTTTTTTTTTAACTCTCAGTTAAAATCATTTGAAAATTTTACCAAGCGTTGCTTTAAAATGTAGATTTATTAGATTATACCAAAATTATCAAAATATCGATAAATCTAAAATGTGAAATAAGACTTGCTTCTAAATGATACTGAGTGCAAAGAATGTTTGATTTTGAGTTGATCTTTATTCTATATTTAGCTGATCAATTGGGAAATGTTTCGAACCTAGCAATGAATCATAGAATTCAAAATTATCGATTTATATCAATAATTTTAAATTATTATCTGATCTTGGTTGTTGTTGTTCATTTACGTCGCACTAGAGCTGTACAATGGGCTATTTGCGACGGTCTGGGAAACATCCCTGAAGATGATCCGAAGACATGCCATCACAATTTTGATCCTCTGCAGAGGGGATGGCACCCCCGCTTCGTATCTGATCTTGAAAAATCTATTCTAGGCCTGTTTTCAGTGTGCTTGTTCTAAACTTAATATTTCCTTAAGGTTAACTTTTCAATTTTATTTTGCATGTTAACACCAGATATAATTTTTTCATTCTCCTCATACACTTCTTTTTCAGGGACTTTAAAAATTACATAAAATTCAAATAAAAAAGCAGTACTGCAGTTTCCATGCATTCCAAAAGTTTCCCCGGACTTTAAAAGTAGTTAATATCCAAATCTTAAAAATTAATATCTATTTTTTTTTCATTGACAATCTCATGTATAGGGTGATTATAAAGATTGAATAATTTTGTTACGCTTTTAGAATCGTAAAATTAATAAATATATTCATGTTTTATTTCTTTCCAAAAATCATTTCATTATAATTAAGTTATACGCATTTAAAAAAAATATATATAAAACGTACAGTTTGAGCTCAAAGGAGCACTGTTGTGGAACGTGTTCTGTAATCACCGTTATTTTGCATATGCTCAGAATCTTTGTGAATTAAAGCAAAAAATATACTGTAAGAGTTTCAAATGAATAATTAAGACAATAATCAAAACGCGACGAATTGTTATAGAGATCTGACAAAACAATTCAGTTATTAAAATGATCAAAAACTAGTAAATTGTTTGAAGAGGTGCTTGCTTTTCGTTTGAAGACGCCTTTTAGCTGCCTTTCTCAAATAAACTAGTTATTTTTTAAATCTCTCTTTTGCTTTTATTGATCTCGATAATGATCCGTCATATTTTTGGAATTTTTGAATTTTACTCTTGCCTAAAAAATTATTTGGGAGCTTAATTTTTACTTTTTCTGACATACTTAACAAAGATTCTAGACACACATTTTCAGGCCGATGATCACGGAACAATGCTGTGTGCAAAGCACTTTTAATATTGTGTTTATAGGGTACGAAACTCAAGAGATGTAACCGTTCGCAAATAGAATCTCCGCAACCCTTTTTTGCTGGTTAGGTTCAGCAAATTTGGAGGAACTCGTAAGAAGAAGCTCACATTTATGGATAAAGCTCTCGATACACTAGATCAGGTAACAAACAAACATAATTATTTCAAGGGTTTCCTTATATTTACAATAGTCGTACTGTTTTTTTCAGAGTGACTTGCAGGTATGGGAGCACAAAATGTTTTCATATGATAAAGATACTTATTGAAATTGTTAGAAACTGAAAACTATTCAAGAAAATTCGATGAAGTTTAGTACATGACAACAATGACACAAAGTGCTTTGGTAAGTCAAACTGCAATAAGGATTAAAGCCATCCAGTACAACATCAATAAGGTTCATATGAAACATGTCAGAAACTGTTGAAGAGAAATAAGATACAGTGACTAGAAACATGTAAAAGTATTCCAGGTTTAATATCCACACAATCACAATTAAAAGACTCAGAACTAATATTACCAAACTTAAGTTCAGTACAGAAACTTTAATGGAATTACTTACATTAATTTTGATCACGAAAAAGCTGTAACTAGCCATTCATAATAAAGATTACATTTACAGGGACAAAAAATATTGAAAGTCCTTTAAATTAGATAGTAATAAAGAATGAGCGTTTTAAATTTAATCAAGCATTCAAATTACAAAACAATAGATTAAGTAATTATTTAATACATTTAATCATCAGTAAATTAATCAGGTTTTAATATCATTTTTAAGATTATGAGCTAGTATTAAATTTTTTTGTATTACTTTTTAAATAAAAATTAGAATAACAATGAATTAAAATAATAGTTGAAAGTTAATTTTTTTCTTTTTGTAATTTTCCTTTAATTTTTATCTTCCTCTTAAATTAAGAAAGGAAGGTTTTTAAAATTAACTTATATTGCGATCAATATTGGAATACTTTTAAATATATATGTATATATAAGAATTTAACGATGATAAACAATTAATATCATTGAGATATTAATTATTTTTACTTACATGTGCACACCAACTAAATATCCTGTGAACATACTTAAATACATAATTTAAACATATATATGCACATTTATAAAGGGTTGATAAAATTATGAAAAGTTCGTGTTCTACATAATAAATATTTTGGCTTCAAACTATGAAGTTTGATCAACAGTTTCAAAGCTTACCACTAACTGTGATATTATTTGTATAAAGATTGACTTTGATATCTGTTAAAGTTGCCTTCAGATGAAGGCAATATATAAGTTTATATAAAAAGAGCATTCATTCATGACTTGATAGAGTTTCGATAATTTTCTCATCAATCATATCTTTTTTTGACGTTTTTAAAAATGGATTTTTGAATCATTTTTAGCTCTTCTTGGTACTAAATACCAAAGCTCGAGATCAATAAATTACAATAAAATTGCACCATGGATTTTGAAATTATCAAAAAATGTATAATAATGGAAATTTCAATAAAAGAAAACAGTTAATTTCACTTAAATTGAGACAATTGTTACTAATTTACAAAATATCTTAGAATTTTAAAAAGAAAAGATTAGCATATTTTTCTGCGCACAGACTTAGAATAGATCCCCCACCCCAATAAATTCGTATGATTTAAAAATCAAATTTCTTTTTTTCTTCGACAGCTAAACTTTATAGATGGGAGAAAGGGCAAGGACATCGCAATCATAATTTCTTAAAAGACAGAAATATTTGTCTGGAATCTCTTCAAAAGTATTTTCGCAAATCCAGGCAAAATGTTCTGATGTAGCAAAGTGTACACACACAGGTTCTTTACTTCAAAACTCTTCGAATTCTTTAGGACATTTTTCTGTGGATGCGATGAATAAAGCTTCTTCATCATATTCATCAAAATTACTGGCATCACCCGGTCCTTTGGTCGGTGGGACAAATGGAGCTTCAAGCTAAAAAATAAATTAAGATTAATAGTTATATTTAATTTTTTTCCCTTAGAATCTAGAATCAGTGATTTTAAAAGTAGATGTGCTCTATGCAATGGATAACACGTTACAGGACGAGACTATGAACTGTACTGCTTTCTATGTACTAGGGTTTCGCTCAACATCCTTGGTGATTGCTTTGCAATAATTGACAATATAACAATATAAGTTAATTAACACTTAAAATTAATTTGGATTATAAATGTTACTTTACTTACACCGAAGAGCCATTACATTATAACCACCCTCCATCTATAACAATGGGCACGCCCAGGTTTACATGGTTTCTCGCCCAGGAACAATGTTTTCATGGGGCACATTAGGACCCATTATCGTCATAGAACAATTCCTGACGTCTGTAAGCTACTTGAACATAGTTGCAGACCAGGTTCACCCATTCATGGCAACAGTTTTTTCTGCGGGGGATGTTGTTTATCAACAGGATAATGCACCATGTCATAAGGGTCGAATAATCATGGATTGGTTCGAGGAACATTCCAGTGACTTTCAAGTCATGTCTTGGCCCCCAAATTCACCTGACCTTAATCCAATAGAGCATTTGTGGTCCTACTTTGAAAACCAAATTCGTGCATCCACGCTACCCCCTCGCAATGTGAGGGAATTGCAGGACCAGTTGGTGAGCGCTTGGTACCAGATACCTCAGACTACCTATCAGCACCTTGTGGAATCAATGCCACTGCGGGTGCTAGCAGTTTTGAGGGCTAAAGGTGATCCTACATGTTATTAGCAGGATGGTCATAATGTAATGGCTCTTCGGTGTATAACAATATAAGTAAATTAACTTTTAAAATCTGCTCCTTTAATGGCATCTAGAGAACAACTCTCATCTATGGACACGACGACAACAACAACAACATTTAAATTAAAAGTGTATTGTTGTAACAAATTTGATGAAGTCCCAACTGTAATTTAATATTTTTGCACACCAAATAGCAGATATATTAAATAGAATTCGTGCAAGCATCACATTGTGTATGAAGCTATTAGTTAAGTTCTAAATTATTAAAGGAATCTCTTTGATGGTAATTTATAATAGCATATTAATGAAATTTACAAAAATGAAATAATAATTGTATAACAGTTAATACGTTTAGATACCGATTTAAATTAGTTTATCTTAAAATGTAGTGTGTATGGTAATATAATTTAATTAAATAAAGAAACAACTCTTTTGGTTTGAAATTTTTCTGCTCTTATGTAGAATCAGGGGCTCCTTGCTATGGCGATAATTTTCATTCAGTTCTGCTGAAATTCCATTTCGGGTTACCATGATATAGTTTGCGGTGTTTGCTTTCAGTGATGTAACCTTTGGGTTACCGCAACTTTTGTATACCTTTATGTGATTGCCTTTTGGTTTATTTACATATATACTCGTTTTTTTTACCCATATATTCGTTTATTTTCAAATCGTCAAAAATTAAAAGGGTAACCGATGGTAAACTTTTGCCAACTTTTAATTTCGTAAACAATCAAATTCAAAAACTTAATAATAACTGAGTAGAATATGAAAAATAAATGCTACAGGAAAATAATACCTTTATGACTTTAATTATTTTCAAGCTTATAGCTACCAAAAAAAAATTGGAAATTAATGTGAGAAAACTAGATCTTACAATTTCCTTATCAATAGGAAACGCCGACACAGTTTCATGCATAGTTAGAAATATTTGCCACCATCTTTGATGATAGAAAAAAGTCCAACCGCTTTTTATTGCGTAATGTGTTTTGCTTTCTTTCTGAGTGAAGAACAAAAAATATCAGCAGCTGTGAAAGGTGGCTTCCTTTGGTCTTCAAGAAAGTTGAGGCAAATATTTACGTTTTGACTAGATGTGTCATCACGCGTTGTCTATTAGAGATTTTATTTCATTCAAGATGATTTTACATAATAAAGAAATTAATTTTTTAACTTTCTAAACTGTATTCCTTTGAAGGAAGATAAGGCACATCATTAAGATTGAGTTTTACCTTGTGCATTGTAGTCCATGTCTGGATATGACTCTGTACGCTGCTTGGGACTCTTTATAACTGCTTATATGTGCGTTTTGAATCGGTAAATTAACTTATCAAAATTATCTTAATTTTATGTTTTCTAATAAATAGAAATAGCTGTTTTTTTTAAAACTTACTTTAATCATTTGGTAAATAAACTAACGGGCTCTGTTACATTGTAAAAAGATTCCAGATAAAATAATCGTATGAAGTACCGGTTGCATCATCCGTAAAATCCATTTTCATTATAAAATATTACACAGTAATTTTTACAGAAATATTTATTGAATTGGAGTGATTCAGAGATTTTACTGTAATTATTACTGAAAAAATCACGGTATATCAGATTTTTAGTTCCGTATCATGTTCTCAAGAATGGATTTTGCGATAAAAAGTATACGTACCCTGAGTGCCGATACTTTTTACTGTAATTTGATCCGGAATTTTTTACAGCTTTGTCAGTTGCTAAATCAATTAATTCAGATAGCAAAGTTAAATCAGGGTCTAACAGAGTGCAGTTTTTGATTATTAGAAAACATGAAAAGAACATGACATGAATGATAATTTAGATAAACGAAAGTATCCTTTCAAATGTCATGAACAGGCTATAAAAGTGAAACGTTACTAGCAGCGTTCCAGCACATTTCCAGTCATGAGTTCCTTACACAATTCACAATCCTTACGATATGCCTACCTCCCTAAAGAGGTTTGTGCATGAAGTTTCGGGATACCCTGCATAATAAGTGATAAAAATGAAATCAGAATAGCCAATATAAAACGAAAGCACTTTTGTTTCTATTAAAACTCCTTCTATACTAGCAATAACCAATACCAGTATAAATACGAAATTTTTCTTTGCTTTCATTTTAATGAGATTTTTGTATTCTGTAAAGGTCTTTATTTTCTTAATAACAGATCGAGAACCTTTCCAGCGAAGAAAATGTTTTCGTATCTGGTAAAACATGCTTTTTTCTTTGAAAAGTTTGTAATGTTTCAGAAAGAATATAACAGTATACTGTGAATGGATATTTTAACAATCGAATTTTGAACAGTTTCTAAATTGTAGTTGTTGAAATTTCTCGAAATTGCAATAAAAAAAAGACAGTAATTTAGCCTATAAGGTCAGATTATGAGTCGATTTAAAAATATAAACAGATTATGATTCGATTGAAAAAAATTTAGACAAAAATATGATATTACGATTTATTCTAGAGGTTGAATAACAAAATCGTTACTTTAAACCGTAACCGCAACTTTAATGGCATGATTAATTAAACCATGTTTCTGTACCAGTTAAACCATCGTATCATGAAATTAAGCAAGAATGACCTTAAGCAGTATTATAAAAAAACATTTTACTTCCAAATTAGTTTTTTGTAACTTGCTTATAATATATCCTTTAATTGTTGTAAAAAATAACGTAAAGTTTTTCTGCGTTTGTGCTAATTTCTAGAAAACGGATGCACAAATTTCCAATTATGTTTCTTTCTGTCCCTTGAAATTATTCTCGGGGTAGTACTGAAACATCTACACCCTCCTGGCATATGTTAGAACAATATCGAAAGCAATGAAAAGTGACTTCAAATTCCTTATTTTAGACTAAAGTTTCTTTAGCGTTTTAATGGCTGCATTCTACATATTGCTTCAGTTTTTGAGGATAGTTTTGACATAGCTTCTGTTACCTGCATTTATTTACTAGCTAGCTTGCAATTTCCAAAAACCTCTTTATACGAGGGTTGCTATTTATATTTCTGGCCTAATAATGAAAAAAAATGTGTAGGATCGAAATTGGTTTTATTGTTTTTCAAAATATTCTCCATGATGATCAATACACTTTTGCATGCGTTTGAACCAATTTTCAAAGCATTTTTTCCAGTTCGATTGAGGTAACTCCAAAACATGCGTTTTGAATGCATCAACCGCTTCTTCGGGGGTCGAAAATCGTTATCCACGTAATTCATTTTGATGTGTGGGAATAAGAAGAAGTCATTGGGTGCTAAATCAGGGCTGTACGGCGGATGACCCATCAGTTCGATCTTTCGCTCCGTCAGAAAGGCCTTTGTTTGAGTCAATGTATGAGAGCTCGCATTGTCATGATGAGGAATGATTCGCCCGTGTTCTTCTGTTTTTTTCGAATTTCTCCGATGACTTCTGGCAAACAAATGGTCGTGTACCATTCAGAATTGACCATCCTGTGCTGCTTTAACGCCACTGTTGCCACATGACCGTTAATGCCGAAGAAACAGGCAATCATTTGTTTCGATGTGCTTCTTCCTCGAACAACTTTTGTTGGTTTTGCCTCGTCTTGGAAGACCCATACAGTTGATTGCTGTTTTGTTTCCGGCTCATATGCATAGATCCATGATTCGTCACCTGTGTAGATGTTATACACAGCCTTTGATGTACCTTGAACGTATTTTTCCAACATTTCCTTGCACCAATCGACACGAGCCTTTTTTTGAGCGTTTGTCAGATTATGCGGGATCCAACGCGAACAAATTTTTTTTACGCTCAAATGTTCATGCAATATTTTATTGATGCTAGTCATACTAATGTCCAAAGACGCCTCTATCTCACGGTATGTCACATGACAATCTTGCTTTATCAGTTCACGCACATCATCGATCTTTTCGGGCACAACAACGGATTTTGGACGACTTGCACGGGATTCGTCCTGGATCGAACATCGACCACGATTAAATTGGTTATACCAATTTTTTACAGTGCTGTAGGATGGCGCTTTAGTGCTGAATAAAGAATTAAGTTCATCGAAGCACTCTTGTCTTGACAATCCACGTCGAAAGTTATGAAAAATAATGCCACGAAAATGTTCGCGATTCAATTCCATTTTTTGAAAGAGAAGAACTTTTCAATTTACTGTCAACAACATAAATGAAGCTATAATGGTTAATCGTCTGCTGAATTTATGTTTAAAAATATCAAATTTTCGATTAAAATCGTCTGCGGTCGCCTAGCAACATTTACTGTTGCCAAGGCCAGAAATATAAATAGCAACCCTCGTAATTGTTTCAGAGAGCACTGTTGAGAAAACAGCACAGACAAAAAACGTTTAGCTTTAAATTTCAAAGAAATAGAATTTGATGAAATCTTGGGAAATTCGATTTAGAAAAATCTTAGGTAGCTAAGAACTCACTTAACTCAAGGATAAACTAGATTTCTTTTAAGGCTCGTAAAAGCACGTTTTTTTTAATTGTTTTTTTTTAGTTCTTTTTCTTAGGTTCAGCAAAGCAATTTCAAATCTAGAATTCTCTCTCAATATTAAGGAGGTTAGTGCAGATTTACTTTTTTTTCCTTCAAAATTTTTAATTAATTTTTTTATTTCATCATAAAAGGAAAAAAAAGAAAGACTTGTAACTAAAAAAAAAGAGCTAAGAAAATAAAATCTGCTGTCCTAATAAGTGCTTCTTTGGCGATGTATTTATTATATGGAACAAACCGATTTCAAGCTAAAATTTTTTTTAAAATTCCGTGTTGTATGTTGTTTCTCAACTATAACTCTACTAGAACGCAGAGCTCTTATTTTTATGAACGTATTGAACAATGTTTTGCATCAAGGTTTTGAGGCCAGGTTTTAGTTAGGCTCATAATTGAGCTTGATCAACGACAAGTTAATTTGGTTTGTTCATAATAGATCTTGTCTTTTTAAAATTTTTACCCTCAATTCACAGCTTCCATCAAAGTGTGCAAATATTCAGCTTGTTCGACTATGTCAGAAATGTAGTTATAGATTTCATAAAGCTGTCCTGCTGTCCCTAAATTTGTTTTTAACTTCGCACTGGCTGTTACATCTTTGCATTCTTTAAAAATATTTGTTGTGAGTGATCAAAATATATACACCATATTTTTAGAAGCACCGAAATGTCCGCATTTCTGATATCTTATTATTTTTCGAATAGATTTTTAAGATAACTGTGAGTTTATTTTAACTTAAAAGAACTTCGAATTATTGATAGACTTTATTTTGTGGCTACATAAAAGAAAATTGACAAAAACAACCACATGATAAAAAAATTAAAATAAATCCGTTCAGTATCTTCTTTAGATTTTAACTTTGTAATGTTCTAAACACAGAGATGTGTCTTTTTCGTATTATCTCAGAACTCTATTAACTCGATTTCAAATTTCATAGTACTCGCGATTTTGAGTTCTTCCTCAGGGTATTTGTCGAAGTTGGAAGCATCGCCTTCGCCACGTACCTCAGGAAGGAAAGGAGCATCGACCTGCAAAATATAAAGTTGCAACGACTCTGCATATTTTAAATAATCTTAATATTGTTTAGGGAAATACTTCAGATTGGACATTGTTTTTCATCACCGTAAATAAGCAAATTATAAACATCAAGGGCGATGACATTCACTTTTGAACCTTGTAATTTTGAGCCCCTCTCAGAAGACAATGAAACTCTAAAAAGTTTAATATAGAGACAAACTCCTTTTGGAGTACCGTCATTACGGATTACTTTTCAATTAAAAGACATTTGAAAATTTAAGAATTTAGGAGATTAATTAGTTATTGCAAAATTTAGGTCTATACTTACGCTCATATAACTTATTTATATTTTTTAACGTGCATGTTAAAAGCCAAATAAGGCTGACCACCTGACCGGAACTGCACCCCAGAGCCCAAGGCCAAGAAAACTGAGATGGGCACAGTAGGCCTTGGCCCTCCATGGGCTGTCGCGCCACTGAGTTTAGTTCAGTTTGGTTTTAGATTATAGTAAAAATCAAACACACCAGAATATTAATCTTTTTAATATATGTGATTACAGTAGTTTAAGAGACGTTTCGACTATTAAAACTTTAGAAATAAAATATTCTTTTAGAAAAAGAAGAAACTTTTTTCCTGTTATGTATTTTATGGATAACAATCCAAGAAAAATAGTTTGAATATTATTTAATCCTATTAATCTTTTGGAGATGTTTTTCTAGATGTAATACGGTTATTAGAAACATCTTTTAGTCAACAAGCGGACTAGCTTTGATTCTTTTAAGCTTTTTTCAGATATTAATTAACTTTTTTTTAAAAAAATTTATTCTATTAGACAGATTGGCTTTGATTTATTTAATCTTTCTCTAGATTTTAATTAGCTTTTCTTGTTTTCCTTCTCTTAGATGATGATTTTAAACTCTTCGTATGTAGATACTTTTGTATTTTAATTCTTGTTGTTGACGTATGCTTGTTTAGGCAGAGGGGGTGCGATTGTTCTTGTTTCCAGTGGCGCCATCTATGGCCAAGAATTGGACTTCTGCCACACCATACGTCTCACCCGTTTATAGGGCGGGCCATACATCCATTCATTCATCCACAGATCGTAATTTTGACCTGAATCAGAGAACGATCGATCTCCAATCCAGTACCCCCAGAGGTATTGATTTGTTATGGGAACATGGAGGACTTTCGCGACTCGACAGATTTAACGTGCATCAGTCGCGTTACTATACGGGGAGTCTTCGGCCGGCGGGGTTCGAACTCACGAATTCTCGAACATGGGCCCAGTGCCCTACCAACCAGACAAAGGTTATAATGTAAATGGGGAGAGGGTGCTTACGAAACATTCTGTACCGTATTTACTGGATTTAGTGTTGTTTTGAATTATGTTTCTAAGTTAAGTAAAACTAAATGAATATGAATTTGGATCCTAAAAGATACATTATAAGATAGTAATAAAGAAAGAGAAATGAGATTTATGAAATGCTATAATTTTTTATATTGCAGCTGTCTCCAAGTTAAGGGTGGAGATCTTAATTTAGATCCGAAGTCTTTCAAGGTGGTTTATCTAGGCTTTTAAAAAATAAATATTCACCCAGAAATGAATTGAAACTGAAGGAAAAAAAAATTCCTAGGGCACTTTTGTATTACATTGAGCAGGATATGTAGATTTATATCCTGCTCAACAGAGAAATGTAGATTTATGTTGAGTCTACATTATGTTAAGCCTGCTATACTGAGAAATGTATATTTATGTTGTGGAGTCTGAATATTATAAATTAAAACAATTGTTAAAAATTATAAATTACACTAGGGAACAGTTTTTTCTTGTATCTCTTCAAGCTACAGTTATTTTTTTAGCTAACACTTTTAGTCTTTTTTCGAGCCATTAATTGAGTCTATTTCGCAACCCCGCATTTCATACACCGGATGTTTGAAAAAAAAAAAACTATATTAATTTCGAAATTATTTACTCACGGTAAATAAATTTGAAAGGCCTGATCTAGTGAATCAATTCACTGGACATCTGGTTTAATGAATAAAGAAAATACACATTTGAGAATTATAATTCCGGGATTTTTGCTTGCTCGTAATTTTACGTTTGAGTTGCTGAATTGAAATTGATATTTTGAATTAAATTTTTTTCCGAAGTATACTTTTTGTTCGTCATAAGAGGTTCATATTACAGAAACTAGTTATATTGCTTGAAAAACTTCTTTCCATGGATCGGAAATTGTGTCTTTCTTTATCCGGCAAAAGCACAAATTATGTATTTGAAACATCAGAAAATAAAACAATATTTAGTGGGTGGATATCAAATAGCATCATTATTTTTATTTCATTTTATTGGGAGCCTTTTTAAAGAATAAAGTTTTCCTTATTTCTTTTAATAGATTTTCCTTTTGAATTGAACAATTGTTTCATTATTTATTAGTAGTGGCTTGTCTCTGTTTTTGTATTTTTTATTAAATTTGTATCATATTAAAAAATGCACAATGAGTAAAATTTAATTAAATAAACGAAATTTAAATAAATAAGATTAAATAAATAATAAGATTGAAAAAATAATAATTTAAATTGATCACTATGAATTTAATTATTTACTCAAATGAAAATTTAATTATATTATAACATGTTTAATAATTAAAAAAATGTATAAAATTTTCAAAAACGTTTTGAATATAATTTATGATTAACAAAACAGAATGTAATGTTTTGAAAATTCTGAAACTGCTTTAAATTTCCTAATATTAAAAGCCGCTTTTCAAACAAGAAATTTAAACTCAGAATTTAAATTTTATAGAGCAGACATATATATTTAAATTTTAGTTTTCAAATTTTCTCTATAAATGTAAACATTAATTTTTTTAAAAATTTTGTGAAAATTCATGATGCGCATCATAATAATGACTTTGAATTAAATATGTTTATTATTGAATTAAATTAAACATTATTAAATATTAATAACTTTAATGAAACAATCATTAAAAGAAAGCGATTTAAATTTTATATAAATAAAGCAGAATGCTTATAGGTATGTGCGTACCTATATATCTTATTCATATAAATCTGCAATTAAGAGCCAAATTTGCACCAAATGTGACGTACATACGTTTTATTCGTCACAGCGACAATTCATCATGGGTACAATTCGTCGCGACGACAATCCTTCTTAGACACAACTCGTCACAGAGCCAATTCGCTGTGGGAACATCTCTACGCAATGACAATTCGTAGTAAGCACACTTTGTCACGAGCATAATTCGTCGTAAACACAACTTGTCGCAACTACAATTCCAGGGTTTGTCAGTCAGTCAAATTTTTTTCATTACGCCTTCCTCACTTGTGATTCCGTAGATTTTGTCCCTTTCTCTCTTAAATATTAAACTGCAGTCCTCAACGTGTATAGATATTTTAAATACATTCATGAAAATGTCTCTAAAATACATATATCAATGGCAGTTATTACGAGACACCCTGCATAATATATACAAAACTTTATAAGGCTGACACCCCCTTTTATTTGAAAACAACTTTTAAAAAGTTTTTATTTTAACAAAAGGACTTACTTTTCTCTGAAAAGTGGCAATCCAATCGGTTGTAGCAAACCATTTGTGATTTTTAATGTCAGCTACTCCATTCTTGAGATTGCCGTACCGCTTCGTTAAATCTACTTGTAAAAGGTTCTTCAACAAATCTTTCAACTCGGCCGAGAAATGGGAAGGATATCGAACCTAAACAATAATAGTAAAATTTGTAATAAATAGAAATTTATTATAGTTTTTTTCTCTATACTTTTAAAGATAGATTATTTTTCTGTAGATGGCACCACTATGGTAAAGTTAAATTCAATCATAATAATGATATTTTTGTTGGAAATTTTGAATTAGTCGTTTAAAATGGGATTTTTGGGTTGAAATCTGGCTAACTAAATTTATTAATATTTATGGAGGATGGTATTATAACTTCTATAGGGTATTAGTGGGTTTATGACTGTTTTTTCTCAGGGATCTTTTTTTTTTTTGTTTCTGACGCCCGCCGGATGCGGGATGACTCTGGATTTGGTAAACAGGTCAATCTAGACTCTTTCGCCTTGCTGAAGGGAGGATAAAAGAGAAGTGAAGAGTGTGGCTAAAAGCAGTAACACGGAGGATACGGAGTTTGTCCGCTGGAAGGGTGGTCCGTAACAGCACCTCGGAGATGGTGGATCGTGAACTTAGGGAAAGCTAAACTGAAGTCTCTAGCGGGAAGAACGACCGTGATTAGCCGAAGGCCGATATCTTCGAAACGGTGGGCCAAGTCCGAATGTATTTATGCTGGAAGTCCGGTGTTCCCCTTCTGCATGCCTAAGCCTTGTGGGGAGTGTAGTTACAGACCATGTCAACCGTCATCTATGAAAAGGTACCCCGTGATAGAATCAAGTTAGTTACACCACAGCCTAATGAAGTTAGAATAGCTGGAGAAATTTTGAGATCCTAGCCGAGGAGTTTGCCCACGAGCTCATCTACCATTCCGGTGGGCGGTTTCCAGAGGGCGAACAGTAAATTCTTTTGGGTACTTATAAAACTTTAAATTTTATTTCGTTAAAATTTTAGAGGAATCATTTACCGTAAATTTTGAACTGTTTATGTTGTGTTTTCTTTTTTTCTTTGTATAGGAGAACAATGAGTATTTAAGTGTGATTTATAGACATCATAAACCAAGTCTTAAGTGCTTTTAGTAATGTTAAATGCAGTTTTTATTTCTTAAATGTCTTTTTTGAACTGTATGAATGGAAGGTTATGCTTAAGTGTTTTAAGGTTGCATGTTGTTTTAATTAATGTATAAAGGGAAGTGTTCATTCCCATGTAAGCATTTGGAAATGTGTGGAATTATGTTTTTTGAGGATTTAGAGTTGCAATAAAAATGAGTTTTAAATGTTAAGAGTTTCCTGTAATTCATTAGATATTTGTCTACGGTATAACCTGGGTAACCGTTACGAAAATTAAATTTAGAGATCACAGCTAGAGGGGTAACGGTACAAACTAAAATGTCTTGTAATGAAAAATGAAGTTAACCTAAACAATAATAGTAAAATTAAAATGTCTTGTAATGAAAAATGAAGTTAACCTAAGCAATAATAGTAAAACTAAAATGTCTTGTAATGAAAAATGAAGTTAACCTAAACAATAATAGTAAAATCAAAATGCTTGTAATGAAAAATGAAGTTAATAAATTCATTTTTAGCTCTTCTTTTTATAAAAAGAAACATGAAGGCAGAATCAAAAATAGTATAAAAGAGGGAGAAAATGGTTTGTGACTTGGGCTCCAGATTTTGATAGATTTTATTTATACCTTTTTAATTAGCTTATAATAAAAATTAAAGAAAAAGGTTAGTTTATAATTTTTTTGGAATTTTGTTTCCTTTTATTTTCTATATATATTTTTTTAGTTTAATACATTATTTTAATGTTTTCTCACTAAAAATACTTGGAATAATGAATAATGTAATTTTGATCATAATATTGATTGATAAATAGTGTTTTAATTATTTTCTAGTATAATGAAAATGCTTCCCATTGCAAATACATTTCGCAATCCTTAGAAAAGCACATTTTCTATTTATGTTTTTACATTTTTCAGAGAATATTTATTTCATATTTTAATTTTTACATGGGTTGTTAGTGTAAATTGAATGCGCATATTTCTTTCATAAATCATTTCGATGCATACCAATAAACATGGATAGCATTTCACTCTTTAATCAAAAAATTTAATTAATGTCCATTCAAATGGAATTAACATAGAAAATTCGCACATGGTTTTTGTATCTTCGTTTGTTACTACCTTCTCAACAAACTAATAATGATATTAAGTTTATTTAATTTTAAAAGTGTTCGAATAAGTATTCATAGAATAGTTTAACATCCGTAACATTGATAATGTAAAAAAATTTCATGAACTGCAAAATTTATTAAGTTGGAAAATTTCGACATGCTTCGAGTGCTCAAAACAAAGTTTTGATCACCGTTTCCAACTGCTCGTGTTCCAAATTATTTTAAACACACAAACTTTGGAAACTAATTAAGTTATTTTTTTACATTTTAATAAGTATATCTTTCCGTTTCAGTTTATCATTTTATCTGAAGCATTGTCATGAGATTGTGAAATGGGCAGGGAAGTTGTATTTGTAGCAAATGTTACAAATTTTCCAACAACAAGTATTCAATGGCAGGTAGCAAAGCGTTGAAAAAGAATTATTAATTAAATTGGAAATTCATTAATGCAACTAAAGTTCTGAAAAATCTTTGATAAAAAGCTACTAAAATTACAAAGTGAGAGAGAGGAGAGAAAGAGAAAGGAGAGAAAGAGAAAGGAGAGAAAGAGAAAGGAGAGATAGAGGAGAGATAGAGGGAGGAGAGAGATAGAGGAGAGATAGAGGGAGGAGAGAGAGAGAGAGAGGAAAGAGAGGAGAGAAAGGAGAGGAGAGAAAGGGGAGAAGATGGGAGAGAGAGGGGGAGAAGAGAGAGGGCTTTTTTTAGAAGGTTATTTTTCTGGGTTTAATAAAAATTTAATCGTGATAGTAATCTCATGTTAGTGTTAATGGGAATGATTTCATTATTTACGATACACTTTCAACAGTGCAAATGATCGACAAAAGTTTCTTCTCGTAAAAAAACACGGAACAGTAGTTATTGTTTTCGTTTAACAGAATTTATGTAACAGTATGTTAATGCTTACAAAATGTGCTTTACTAAATACCGAGATGAATGATACAATTACTCACTATAAAAAAAAAATAAAAAGAGCAGGAAAAGTCGTTAATATATTTCTTCCCGTTGACTTCTTTAAAATTCTCAAGATATACTTAAAAATCGGAGTATAAACGACAGAAATATTTTAAACAATTTCTACCTCATTATACTTACACAAAGATAAGATATTCACTTACTTTTCCAGAAACAATACGTTCATATATTTGTATTGGCTGATCGGCATAAAACGGCGGATAACCTGCCGCCATTTCATAAACTAACACACCAAAAGCCCACCAATCAACAGCTTTGTTGTATCCCTAAAAAGAAAATATTATGTGGTAAACTGATTGCTTTATAACCAGAAGAGGTAGGGGGATTGAGTAATATACTCGCTAATAAAATGTTGTAAACAATATGTCACCCTACAAGTTGTGCATGGCGTGTTTGATGTGGCATACTGCCTGCAGAATATGAGATAAACATGTTCTCAGGATAAATTGTTTTTACTATCCTGATACTTAATTTGTTAAGTTCGTGAGTGAAAATACTGATGTGACACTTCGCCATTGATAAAAGCAAGTAAATTGCTCGAAAAAGTAGATTTCGTGTGATTGTTCAGTAAGATTAGTTGTTTTGAGGGATTGCTTACAAGGCAAAAAGAGATAACAGATTCAAACAACTGAACTTTCTCTTTGAGACCAATGCGAGAGTGAACTCGATACTTTTCATCCTAAATACTTGAAACGAATTTTAAAAATAGACTGGCCAAATAAAATCACAAACAGCAAACTGTATTATAAAACAAAAACAAAGCCCCATATAATATTTTTTACAACCGTCGTTGAACAGCCAACCCGAATTTTGAGTTTACGGCTACCAACTTTCAACTCCGTAGCCCAGTGATTCTCAACCTGTGGGGCGCGCCCCCCTAGGGGGGCGCGAGCACACTAGAGGGGTGGCGTGAGAATATTCAAGAGAAAATATTATTTAAAAAAAAATGATTAACTGTATGAAAGGAAAGCGCACAAACACATAGAAAACAAAATACATTTCTACATATTTAATAACTTATTAAAGTGAAACAACTTATTGAATCAAAACTTAAAGTAATGAGCCAAAAATGGCTTTGCTTTGAGGATTTTTCCTAATTTTCTGGTTAAGCCTGTGTGGCTGAAGTTTTCTTTGTAACATCTTACACCTATCTCTAATATATATCACGTATACTTTTAATTGTAAAATAAAATTTTAATTATTTTGTACTACAATTTCAAAATTGTAGCTTCTGCGCCCAAGGTTTCCCACAGGTTCCAAAGGTGAGCCATATATTGAAATCACTTTTTCACTTACTCAAATTATCCTTAGAAAAAACATTTAGACTGGCAAACGTCTTTTAAAAAGGCACTTTAAGTGTCTTGTTGGTAGGAACAAGTTTCCCGATTTTGAAAAAGATATTTGTTTTTTCAGAGTGTATAATTTGTTTATTGATTTTACATTGATAGTTCTTGTGTGAAGTCACTAGCGATTCTTTTAATCTTTATTACTGAGTTAATTTTTTCAAAAGGATTAACTAACAAGAGTTAAATAACCATACTAGAGTTAACTAACCTAACCCATAACTAGTATAAAAA